GACGCGAGCCGCGCCTCGAGCTCGGCGGCGGTCGCAGCGAGCTGCTTGATCTCCGAGACCGCGCGCTCGCGGTAGCCCTTTTGCTTGAGGCGGCAGTAGCGAAGGTACTTGGCGTGCTCTTCCGGGCTCTTGGAGTCGCGCGCCTGCACGATCCAGCCGCGCGGCAGGCTCCCGAGGTCGTCGGCTGTGCCCGGCATCGCCAAACCCAATGTGACGCTATCCGGATGCCTCAGTCATCGGTCAGCGCAGGAGGAATGATGATGTGCAACGGACCAGACGGCTGTTCGTGTCACATGTGGTGTGAAATGCAACGCGTCCAGATGTGGAAAACCACACTGCGATGGACGTCGACCATGCCCTTCACATTCGCACACCTTCACCATCAACTAGCTACCGCTATCGGTAGCGACTAGCTGCCAGCTAGCTACGAGCGACACCGCCAGAGCTCCTTTCTACTACACCATTGTGCTCCAAAGCTCCAGGTGCAAAGCACCGCACGCAGATCGCAAACGTGTTACACGCGCCTCGTGGGAAATGGTGAAAAATTAAGTACGGTACCACCACGCTCGACCCAAATTGCAGCAAACCAGAAAACAAGCGGTCGACAGTCAGACACTCAGACGTCTCTCGTCACAGCAAGTCTCCAAGGACTCTGGTTCTTTGTGCCTTGAACAGGACTGGAGAAAGCAAAGCAAGCCTACGTTCATTTGCTTGCGAAGCTGGGTGGCGCAGCCGACGTGGGTGCGCAATGAGCCAACGCATCGACGTTAGAAGTGAGTAACAGCGTGACGAATCGTCATCCGTCAAACCGACGGCTACGGTACTTCGCGGCACCACCGCCACACGTTCCTTTCAGCACAGCGGGCGTGGACGCATACCGTTGGAATACGGTGTCCGTGACGCGGCTCTGGCCCTTGGCCACGTGCTACGTAGCGCTGCGCTTGATTTGGCTCGCTGCCTTGCAGTGTATTCGACCGTACGGAGGAGAAGAAGCGTGTAGTAAACTGGGTTCGTTGGTGTGGCGTCAGTAATCGACGCACGAACGCAGCCGTCGGTGTGACTGGTTCCGAATCATCGTGACGCTGCGCACTGCTGTGCACGCCCACTCTGGTCATGCGCGCTTCAATCGCCTGCCGAGGGTGTAATGTTCTAGTACTTGGATGCGCAGTAGTACAGTCAACAAGACGACGTTCGTACACGGACGAAGCAGCTTGGGTGCAGAGATGGCGCAACAGCAAAGAGCTTTGCGATCGATGATGTGTTGTTGCCTCGAGTCGCGTCATCCACCGCACAGCTGCCCCTTCGGCTATGGTCCACAGAGCGAGCACTTCCGTCCAGGCAGCTGCGATCGCTCGTTTGCACAGTTGGTATTCCCGGTATCACTGCGACGAAGAGCCCCACTCGTCGCAGCGCTCAACGCTCGGTGTGACGCTCTTTGGTGTGCACGCTACCACGATTCTCGCAGGAGTCGAGACCTGTCCAGGTACGCGCTTGGCACAACGGCTTGCCTCTCAAGCGCATTCGATCTGTCTACCGGTACTTACCTTGTGTCACCAACAGAACGGAGCTGCTCATGGGTACAGCCCTTGCTCCTCTGTTTCTCGGGCTACTCGCTGCGGCTGTCTGCACTTCGCGCTCCTTGCGTCGGCAAAGCAGAATTTGCAGTACGATGCCTAGCAGAGCACGACTAGTGTTGTGCAAAATGTGGAAGGTGGAGTGAAGGACCTAGGAAGATCCAGGCTATGGATAGGAGTTTGTCAGTAGGCGGGTGCATCCCCAAGAGCGTGCCAGTTGCGTGTTGGTGTGTTCCAGTCGCAAGGTCTTCCCGCCACTCCCACGATGGCGGCGTCAAGATACTCTTGGGTGCCCCCACTCTTCGTGCTCGAGGTTCGAAGAGCGGAACCCATTTTCGGATATTCACGCGCACGCAAACGATGCCCTCGGAGCAGCTTTCGTCGACAAGCAGCCAGCACGCGCTGCAGCAAGCCATCAAGGCGATGGGGGGTCTTCCCATTTCAAGCCTCCACGACGCCGTGACGACAACGGGGCTCAACCTTCTTGGCCACGCCAATGCTGCCGCGTACAAGCAGTACATTCAGGTACGTAAAATGCCTTCTTCCCTTCGACACTGACGAGCACGTATAGACGCCGCTCTGCGTGATTCTCTAAGGCGCTCCAACTTGTTCATTTTGATACGGCAATGACCGATTCTTGCCCCCAACAAAGTGTCGTTACTAAAAACCTGCGACTGCAAATACAATCTCATTTTGCGGTTGCTATCATGTGGCTTGTACATGACGACGGTTGTAGTCATCGATGCACCTGCCAAGGGGCTTTGGAATCGCGCAGCATACAGAAGGTTAGCATGGACGAACATTGTCCACAACACACAGAGGACCAACGACCACACCGCTTCTCGCAGTCTGAGCGTCTTCTGGCAAACGAGAACTGGTGCGTGGTCCGTGATATCAATAAGCTTAGCGTTCTGCGAGAAGCCAGAGGCAGCTCGATGCACCAGCCAAGCGACGCGCGCTACCTCGTCCATGGACTTCGCAGGTCGCAGGTCTTTGCCAAAGGCGCAAGCGGACGTTGAACCTGGTACTTCTTGGGCGAGTGGACGTTGCAGGGCGTCTGACGAGTAGTCAAGACCGGCGGCAAGACAATACCATTGGGGTCTTCGTGATGGTGTTGGTGGCTCGTCACTGGATGCGGATATTCACTGAATTCGAAGCGCAGTCGTTGCTGATTGGGCGAAATCTGGAGCATGTATCAAGTACTAGTATGACGCAATCCAATAGCGCTTCCTCGTGATTTCGACGACAAACTAGACGTTGATGGCTTGAACGCAACAACCGCGTGTTCCGCACGACATTGAGGCCCCTTTGCGCTCGCGATCAAAGCCGCTACTATCACGCGAGAGCATATCCGGCACTTGGCTCACCGCGCCGTGGTGCCTTCGCTTGCCGAGTCGCTTCGTGCCCTACGACCATTCGCTACCTCATTCCCCATTCAATCGTGAGCCCCGACCACGCGCCCTCAGCTTGACGTACCGGCCAAATCTCGCGAGCGCATTAGGAAGTCCACCATCTTCGCTATAGAATTGCATGTTAAAAACTCATTTCAACAACAACAGACTGGATGTCAAGTGAAATGACGTTGCAAGACCTCAAAAATAATGTTATAATGTCCATGATGTTGTTCAAATTAGGGATACAAATACAGAGAAACATGTGAAACCTGCCATGAGCTGCTGAGCTAGCGCACTCTACAAGGACGAGGCCTCGCCAGGTCAAGGCATCATAGCATTTCGAAACTTTGGCGAGGTTGCGGGGCAGCTGCCATATCACCAACGGACTTTGCAAACGTGTGGTCGTCTTCAGCCATGCGTCCGTGGCAAACGCGCAGCAACGGCCTGCCACTCCACCTTCTCTGCTATTCCCTGGACACCATTCGTTGTTGTCACGTCCTTTTCGTATAAACCCTTAATCTTATACACGCCAAGCCCGTATTCGCTTATGGACCCATCACAGTGTAGTACCGGTGGACTGTGAATAAGTGGCTGGGATCGAAGGATATGCGAGGATGGAGCTCCTTGAACCTCTGGCCGTGCTAGGCCGAGCGCGAAACCCCTATCAGCCCCATCTTCCGTGCATCTCGCCACTGCCAGCCGTTGGATCGCAAGCAATGGGCCAGGATTGGGTCGTATTTTGGATTCGCGCCATGGGATTGGCGCAAATACTCTACTCTCTGGCCTCTGATTGGTGCAAAATGATGATTTGCCGATTGTAGAGCGCGGTGCAACGCGGCAGAGAGCAGCAGTTGGCAATCTCCGATGCGGCGGCGCGACGGCAGCAACACGTTCGTCGGGCTCGAGACGTTCATCACGACCGGCGCGCAGGTCCGGTACGCGTGCCCCAAGTCCCACTGGCGTCGCAAGGCGCCGACCTGTAGCGGCTGCGACCAGCGCTTCCACCTCTTCCGGTGGCGCCACAACTGCCGCGTCTGCGGCGACCTCGTCTGCGGCGAGTGCAGCTGGACCGTGTACCTCGTCAACGCCAAGTCCAACGTCGGCCGTGCTTGCTACGCCTGCTCGCGCGCCTCGTCCGTCGTCGAAGCGCCGCGCAAGAGCACCAAAGTTGCCTTGCCGATCGTGAAGCGCCCGACATGCCCGAGCTTTCTCGACTCGCTGCGAACGACCGAGTGGGTGGACAGCGAGAGGCCGCTGGGCAGCTACCGCGGCAAGTCGAGTGCGTGCGCCATGTGCAAAAAAGGCTTTGTGAGCGGCGATGCGGTCGTCTCGCTGCCGTGCGACGACGTGTTCCATAAGCACTGCATTGGCGCCTACTTGGCGCTCCACGACCAGTGCCCGACCTGTGCCCACACGCTGCCGCGGGACATGGCCTACATTCGCAGCTTCTTTACGTTCAAAGCGCCCTTTGTGCCACCGCCGCCGCCATGAACGTGCTCCACCAACTCGAGTCCATGTCGTCGTAGAGTCGTATGTATGAAAGGTCCCTTGTGTCCCGTGTATGTTGACCCCCACAATGCGAGGACGCAAGCACACTGCACTCACCAAGACATTGCCCATCGATCTCGACGGAGATGGTTGGCGCTTGCAGATCCCATCGATCTTTTGTGCGGGATCTGCAAAAGGTCGACTCTAGCTACAAGGAAGCTTCGCGACACAGAGTCGGCCAAAGAGTATCTTAAGGGACCAGCAGCTGCAAACTCGGGTGATGATGTGACGTGTCAGCGTTGGCGAAAGTAGCGCTCAACAAAGACTGTTGGTGGTACCTGGAGACTCCTGCGACCTGTTGGCCGAACGCTGGAGCAGCTCGCGTATCCGGATAGAGATGGAGTCGCATTCGAGTGTAGACAGCAATGTGGGCTTCTCCTCGTGGAAAAGAGAGCATTTGCGACGCCATGTACATTGCTGCTGCAAGGCTTGCTGGGTCGTTATGGTAGCTGGTCCCACCAAACTCTCTCGCGCTCTCATGCACTCACACACATTCCTGCGGACCATCCCAGTTCGCTGAAATTCATTCGCAGAGTACGTAGCGCTCAAAGGTGTTGGTGGTGTCTAGTGTTCCAGCTAGTACGTTATTGCTAGTCTAGCAATATGCTAATCTACTTGAGTCGAAAACAAAGAATGTACAATGCAAAAAGAGAAAAATCATCTGCTAGTGGACACGAGCACGTTCGTCCGATCGAACCCATTCGCCTTCATCAGGTTTCGCTGTCTCGCCTCTCGCGGCTCGTCGCTACCGTGGACATACACAGTTGTATGTACACTACATGCACCACACGGTTGCAGTCGGTATTCTTCAAGCGACTTCACGATGGCCCGCCACCGGCGCACGCTTGTCGACGACAACTACCTCGTCTCGGACGTCCGCGTTCAGCGCGCGTGCCCCAAAGAGACGTGGGTCCCGGACGCCGCCCGGCAGCGCTGCATTCATTGCACGCGGCCCTTTTCGCTCTTTCGTCGCCGCCACCATTGCCGCGTCTGCGGCGACGTGCTCTGCGGCGCGTGCAGCTGGACCGTCTACCTCGTCAACACGACCTCGAACGTCGGCCGCGCATGCTTTCACTGCTCGCGCGCATTGCGCATCTCGGCGACCGCCAGTCGCAGCGGTGACGACGTCGGGCGGCCGACTTGCCCCAACTTTGTCGATGCACTCCTCGTCACGTCCTACGACGGCGCGGGCGCCGAATCGATGTTGGCGTGTGCCAAGTGCAATGGGCCCTTTGCAGACGGCACGCAGTGGACGCAGCTGCCGTGCGGCGATGCCTTCCACGCCAACTGCCTTCGCCCGTGGCTCGCCGCCCACGACGCGTGCCCGCGCTGCCACGACGCGCTGCCGCCCGACATGGACTACATCCGCAAGCTCTTTGCGTTTGCGTAAAAAGAGACATGTTGTCCTTTGTGGACATATTGTCGTAATATATGGATGGATGCTGGCCGTACGCCCTTTCTTCTTTGCTTGGTATGGGTCGGCGACATGGCATGCGCAAGCCTAGCCCTCTGTGCTCTCCTACATTCTACGTTCAAGGCGATGTCGATACGGGTCGTTGCGATGCAGCGACCGCAAATATGGTATCGCCATCGACTAGTCGACTAGGTTCTTATGGGGGTAGGGCTACCGGAACGCGCCCGTGTAGCCAAACATTTTCGCGCCATTCCCAAACGACGCCGCAAGCCCTTCGACCTCCTTGACCGCGACGCGGTTGGCGTGGCGCGTGAGCTTCTCGAGCTGGTCGACTTCGTGGACCATCGAGAGATCACAGCCCATGAGCGCCCCTTCTTGAACAAGTCCGAGCGGCTCGGCCGCCGGCGAAAGCAAGTGTGACGTCACGTGGAGCATCTGCACCTTGGTGGACGTCGGGCCCGCGCGGTCCAACACATACCTATGCCACGAGGCCTGAGTCCTCTGGACGACGACAATATTGAGGTAGACCAAAAGGCGCGGTTGCGGAACGTTGTCGGCATCGGCATGCACTCGTCGGCGTGGATGTTTTGGCCGACAAATATGCTCTGGTGCTCGCCGCGAAACTCGCGACTGAGGAAGCGCACCATCTCGTCGGGCTCGAGCTTGTGCGTCTCGCAGTACGTGGTGCGCGGCAGCGGCAAGAGGAGCTACAAGGAGCCATGTCAGTCCCGAAAAATGCTCGACACGAGGAATGTACCTCGACGTCGAGCAGCGTCGACGAGGTTTTGCGCCACATGGCGCCGGTCGCGTACTGGTAGAGCCACATGCGAATGAGGTCGCGCGCGTGCTCCAAGGCCATGTCGACGTGCTTGGTCGTCATCCACACGTACTCGAATGTGTCGGCCTCGGTGACGTTGACCGAGTAGTCGATCATGTGCGTCGAGGTCGCCGTGCCGTAGACACCGTATGCGTCGAGCATGCGCTCGGTGTTGTGGAAGAGCATCGTCGTGATCCAGTCGACGCCTAGCTGCCGGCCCATGGGCTCGGCCAAGAGCGCCGTGTGTCGCCATGTCGGGCGTGTGCGCGGCGCCGTGACCAACGGCTGGGAGGACGTTTGGACCCAGCGCGCCATGGCCGACACGAGCGTCGCGTACTGTGCATGCTTGAGCTTGAGCGCGCGGTTGCGGTGGACAGAGGTCGCGCTCTCGTCTCGGAGCGACTCGGCCACGTCTTGCCACGGCAGCGTGAGCGGGTCCATTGGCGGCCGCGCCTTTGTCGTCGTCTTGCGCCGCTGGACCTCGGCTTCGAGCGACAGCGCTTGCTCGCGCAGGTGTGCGATCTCCGCTACGATCTTCTGCCGCCACTTGCGCTGGTGGCGCGTGCTGCCCTCGCGCCGCTTGAGCTTCTGGAGGTCGTCTTCACTCGCCATCGTCGTCGTCCTATGCGTGAAACTGTGTGTCAACACGACGTCTTTTTCTAAAACGTAGGTGCCATCAGGGGTGAAATGGGTTTAAATAGGATAAACGCGTTAAAGCCAGGACACGCAGTTGGGCACCGGAGATCACACGTCGAGGTGTCGTCGCCTCGCTTCTCTCGATGCAGTGCTGAAAGCCATGTGCTAGTACGTAGTCTCGAGCCCAAGGACCTCTGTCCTCATGGCAGAGAGCATGCGCCGAGAGCGGTGGGGCAAGCCGAAAAAACAGCTGACGGACCCCGCTTGCATACCGTCGGTATGCAACCGACAGTGCTCGTCCTTGTCTGCTGCACCCTAGTACAACTAGAAGTTGCGCGCGTACTACAAAGTAGGTACTACCAAAGGCCCTCGAACATAGTCCACAAGAGAGTCCCGCACCGTTTCGGGGGTTAGGTTAAATTAGGTCAGCTGGCTTGCATCGATAGTAGAAAACGTAGCATAGCAGTCGAGGTTGCGGAGCATGCCTTCAATCTCACGCGCGGCCGCGACGCTCGCGTGGCGCGTCACTTGGTCGACGTGGCTCCCATGGTCACTGAGGACGCAGCCCATGAGCTCGGCTTCGGCAGCCAGTGGCACGGGGCCGTCCGACGCGGTGCAGAGGTGCGACGTCACGTGCACGATCGAGACGCGCGTCAAAGTCGGCGAGACGCACTCGAGCACATACCTACATCGTCGCAGTGACTTGATCCCACCGGGTGATCTTCTCGTGGTACCAGAACATGCGATGACGGAACGGCGTCGTCATCGGGTGCAGCTCATCCGTGTGCATCGTCTGGCCGACAATCACGGTCTGGGCATCGCTGTGGTACTCGCGACTTAAAAAGTACACGTGCTCCAAGGGGCGAAGCCGCGTCGTGTGCACATAGCTCGTGTGTGCGAGGCCCTAGAGACAGAAGATGAGTGCGATTCTTGATTGTGTCAGAGGAACAGTACATAGACGTCGAGGTCGGTCGACGGCTCGAGGAGCGGCCACATGCCGCCTCGAATGTACTGCTGGACCCAGTATTGGCCGAGGCGCCGCGCAGGCTCGAACGCCAAAGGCACTGTCTTGCGCATGTGCCAAACGTACTCGAAGACGTTGTTCTCGGTGGCCGCGATCTTGTAGTTGGCAAAGTGCACGGATGACGCAACGCTGTGCTTCTCGAGCATCGCGTTGGTGTTGTAGAACATGGCGTTTGTCGACCACTCGAGCGCGCACCGGCGAGTGTGCGCCGGCGCGCAGAGGCTCGTGTGGTGCCACGCTTCGTAGCTAAGCAGCGGCCGCGCCTACATCGACAGGTCACGCACCGTCGCGGCCGCCGCGGGCACGTACGAGGCTGCTCGCGCGCTGGGCTAGCGAGAGAAGCAGTTGCAGCTGCGCGTTATACTGGCGCTTCAAGACGCGGTTGCGGTGCACCGACGCGCGCGTGTCGTCAGCGAGCGTCAGCGCGACGTCGCGCCACGGTAGCACGGTGGTCGAGACCTTTCGGTCGACCAAGGCGGCCTCGAGCGCGCTCGCTTCGCTGCGCAGCGCCTTGATCTCGGCCGCCAGCTTCTGCCGCCACTTGCGTTGGATGTCGGTCCGGCGGCGCCGGTCTGCTGCATCGACGGTCATTCTCAACATGGCGGCTCAAATTACCAACGTCCAGCCACCTGTGATTGGCCAAAATGAGCCAATCACGCGCGGTTGAAATCCTGGATGGAACTTCCAGTCCAATTTGGCCACCAAGATGGACAGTATTGTCTGTCGGTCATGCGTTCTACAGAAGGGCCAGCACCATACGGCCGGACCCAATAGCCAGTCGCACGAATCGAACTGTGGCGTGCGTCAGTAGCACAGAGCGCACTGCAAATCACATAGCCGCGCGACGTGAAAGTGAACGGGATCGTTGATAGGAGAAAGAGCAATCGAATTGAGCGACCAACGTGGTGTATTTGGAAGCTGGTACAACTTTAGTCGGCGCTCGGCTGGACCACAGTAGACTCACGCCATCAACGAGCGCTGGCATGAGTTGCGCTTGCACCTGTTCAAAACGCTGTTTGGATATGATCACGGGCAATGCTATCGGTGTCTGTTGAACGTGCGATGGCCACATACTTCACTATGACGGCTCTCGAGACTGCTTCTGCAACCCCAAGGAGGTGCCAGACGTCGAATGTGGAACAAAGCTGCGTCCCTCTCGTTGCTACCGCGTTTTTCCAGTACTAGTTTCGTTTGTTGACTTAAATATACGCTAATATATCCGAATTCACGGCTTGGTGTCGGCGTCCAGGAGCGCAAAGAGCGTCTCGTCCGAGCGGTGTCCGACTTGACGGAACACGGTGGTTGCATGCCGCGTATACGCTGCAAGCATGTCCATCTCGGGCATCAACGACGCCGACTCCAAGCCCATAAGGTTGGCTTCGACGTCCAGCGCCACGGGGCCGTGGTCGGTGAAGAAGTGGGAGAGCACGTCGAGGTTCCGAAATCGAGTCGTGTTGGGACCTAGGCGGTCCACGACGTACCTAGCCAAGTACGCATCAATATAAGTATGGACAATATTGTCAATACCAAAACATGCGGTTGCGCCGGTGGACGCTGGACGCAACACGTTCGTCGTGGTGGATGTTTTGGCCGACAAACACAACACGGTCCGGGTGCGGATGAAATTCGCGCGTTAGAAAATTGACCGTCTCGGTCGGGTTCTCGCGCACTGTATGGGCATACGTGGCACCCTGTACGGTCTCGAGCGCCTACGCAGAGGTTTACACCAAGCATAGGACGATGCCCTACGTCGTCGTGGAGGAGCTCGGACGACTGGACGTCAGCCCAGACCGACCCGGTCGTGTATTGCTTCATCCATCGTCGCAGGCCCGCGCAGACCACTTCCATGGGCAGCTGCATCTCCTTTTGCGTGCGCCAGACGTACTCAAAGAGGTCGTCCGGCGAGAGGCTCATGCCAAAGTCGATCGAGTACGCGTGCGGATCGAGCGCGTCAAACTTGTACTTGGCCAGCATCGCGTCCGTGTTGTGCAGTAGCAGCTGCGTGAGCCAGTCGATGCCGAGCTTGCGCGTGTTGGCGTCTAATGGCAGGTACGTTCGTCGCCATGGTGGGTCCACCGGCGCCCGCTGCGTCGTCTAGTATAAGGAGATACAGATCGTGGCAGCGTCTTACCGGCAGGACGCGGGTGACCCACGCGCGCATGTTGGCCACGAGGTGCAGGTACGAAGCGTGCTGGAGCTGCAGCATCTTGCGCTTCTTGAGCTTCTCTTTGTTGTCGACGTCTAGCGCGGTCGCGACCTCGGCCCACGGCAGCGCCCGTGACGTCGGCGACAGCAGCTGGCGCGCGAGCTGCTCTTGGAGCATATCAGCCTCGGCCTTGAGCGCCGTTATCTCGCCGGCAATCTTGCTGCGGTAATGCATCTGCTTGAGGCGGAGGTACTGGCGCCGCTTTAGGACCGCCGGGTCCACGTCCGCCATCGTCGTTGTCAGGCTGGCTTTTCTGGGCTGGCCAACTTAGTGACGTATCAGGCCTGAGACGGGACCGGGCGCAACTTAACGGCCGCAAGCCTTTATTTTGAATTTTGTATGCGAATCCTACTGTTGAGTTAAGTACGGCACTCAGATATAAACTTATCGGCGAACGGTACGAGAAACGTTCGACAACGTTGCGACGCACCACGACGACAAAGATGGATCTGACTACCGTGTGCAAAGCGAGTGCACTCGTCGACAGCAGCAAAACGATACGACGATGGTACCGGATCCTTGCTTCGATATCGATGCCTTGTCCTGGTCCCGATACATGTCTTCAATCTAAACACACGCAAAATCCAGCGGCGTGACGGGTAACGTCGTGCAGACTGCAAAGAGGCGTGCAATTAGCCTTCACAAACGTCAAAGTTTCGAAGTTGAAGCCAAACGGCAAGTGCAAGATCGCGCCCGGTCGAATGGAAGACGCTGCGGCGCGCGCACGCCACGAGGCCACCAAGGCGAAGCTCGAGGTGCAGTTTCCGATACCAAAGTGGTACGACCTCTCGCTGCCGCACGTCGCGCCGCCGTCCGAGCGGACGCCCGCGCAGCCGATGGCCACGTCCCATCTGCACGCCGAGGCGCACCAGCATCGCCAGCACACGGCCAACGACGCGCTGCGATCACCGGCGCGCCTGCACCGGCGCAAGATCCAGACGGCGGCTGCAAGTCCGCCCAAGAAGCCTCGCCTCGCACCGCCGCTTTTGCAGCAGACGGAGGCCTTTGGGCTCTGGTCGGTCGAGGCGCCGGCGCTCACCCCGCCAGATGTGCTCTTGAGCTCATACGACATGGAGGCAATGCTGCGCACGCCACCCGTTGTCGACGACCGCTGGGCGCCGCTTGTCGAGCCGCGGCCCAAGCCGCTCAAGCAGCGGAGCTCGGTGGCTCGCCATGCAGGGCTCACCAAGTCCGGGTCATCTTTTCTTGGTGCCCATACGACCAATGGTTCGATGTTGGAGCGACACCGGTCGTCGCATGTATGGTCCAACGTCTCGCGCTCGATCGACGAGATCTACCAGGGCACCGCGGCGCTCGTCGGAACGACCCGGCCGTCCAGCCCCGACCCGAGCGACGCGCACGCCGCTGCCATCGAGCTCGACGAAGCCGACGTCGACGACCACGCGTTCGACCACGAGATACTTGATGACAAACCCGAGCCCTCCAACAACAGCTACGACGAGGACGACGAGGCCGACGACATTGCTCCACTACACGTCTACGCTTCCAAAGACATGACGGACACGGGCCGGAACGTCCTTGACTCGGACCGCCGCATTGGCACGCCGGGTCTGCGTCGGCGCGAAAACATCCGCAAGCTCGTGCACTTTGCCGACGGGCATCTGCGGAAAAAGATCTTCCGCGGCTGGTCGACGATCGAGTTTGCCTTCTCCGGGGGCGATCTCACGCAAGCCCAAGTCGAGAAGGTGTTGACGAGCCACAACATTTGCGTGACGCGCCTCGACCTCGAGCGCGTGCACTCGACGATCGACGCGGTCTTTGCCAAGACGGCCCGCACCAACCGGTCCAATCTCTCGGTCGACGGGAACGACGACGAGGTCACACCGCACGTGGATCTGCCCGACGACGAGACAGAAATGGAGCGCAACAATGACGAGAGCAGCTCGATTGAGACCGACACGGTCCATGTTGACGTCAAAGAGACGAGTAGTAGTGTGCCCCACACGGTGTCGTACGAGCTCATGATGGACCTCTTCTACCCGCACGATGAAGCCGAAGCCGCGCTTTGGCTGCTCGAGATGGAGCAGGAGCGCCAAGCACAGCTGCAGGAAGAAGACATGCGCAAGCAAAAGTTGCTCGAGCTCGAAACCAAGAGTACGTGTGCCCTTTGACGGCCAACTCTAAGTTCTGTGTCTAGTCAAGCGGCGGCTGGCCGAGTCGGCACAAGACATGTGGCGTGTCATCAAGATGTTCGACTACATGCACACGTCGTGGCCGTCCCAAGCGGTCGCCGAGGCCACCACACTGCGCTTCCACGACCTCCTCTTTGAAACGACACAGCGAAAGAAGCACACGTTGCAGTGGGACGCAGCCACCGAGAGTGCGGCGGTGGTGCCGCAAGCCTCGCTTGACGAACCCGCGGCCTCGGTCGAGGAAAGCGAGATGACGCAGTCATCGTCATCGCTCGCCGCTAAACACTCGGTTAGCCACGTCTTTAAAGCGCTACTTCAGTCCTTCTCACGCAATCGATGCCTCGAAGACTTGGAGCTGGACGAAGCCGCGCACGTCTTCCACGACATTGCCGCCACCGTGCTCCAAAAAGGCGCCTTGCGCTTCCTCGAGCGGCGGTCGATCTTCGACTGCCCCGAGCGCCAAGCGTTCCTGGCCTACAAGCTCAAGAAGCGAATGGTCCGAACATGGCGTGAGAACGCCCTCGAGTGCCTACGCCGTCGCCGCATGCTACTGCGCAAGTTTGTCGCGTGGAAGTACCTCATGATCTGTGGCAAGTGGTACCGCGAGCTCTTCCGGCTCTGCTTTTGGCCACTCTACGTCTGGAAGCGCTGGACGCAGTTTGTCATCATCTCGCGCGCCAAAGCCATCTTCTTGAAAAACGTATTCCACGAATACTACCTTGTCCGCCACACGCGTGCGTGGCACCGGTACGTTGCCAAAAAGCGTGCGCTCTACTTGGAGCTCGCCGCCCGCAAGCAGCGAAGGGACCTCGCAGCGCTTCGAAATATCGTCGACGCGTGGCGGCCGTGGGCCGCCTACGGCCAGCGCGTGCGCAAGGTACACGTGCTAGCTTGATAGGTTGATAGAATATCAACGTATCAAATGGCTAGATTTGGCGCAAGAGCGGACTCACGCTGCATGTTCAGACCAAGTACTACACGACAAAACTCGCCTTGTACCTCTGGCGCTACTTTACGATGCTGCACCGCGACATGCGCCGGCGCCAGTACGTGTGCCTCTACGGCATGCTGCAGCGCCAGCGGCAGAAGGAGACGCCAACCGACGGGGTCGAGAACGACGTCGTGCCGCTCACACGCATCATGGACTCACCGATGGGCCACCGAATCAAGCACAAGACGCGACTCCACGACCTGTGCATCACCACGTACATCAAATACCGCAAGAAAGACCGCCTTCACATTCTCGCCAAGGTATGCCGCCCTCAAGTCGCGTCCATTTGGTTCTCAAGCTGCGTAGGCGCTCGTGTTTCAACGCATTGGCCCGACTGTGTTTCACATGCTCTGGCTCTACAAGGAGAAGAAGAAGCGCAGCCGCCTCGTGTCGATGTTTGGGGTCTTTAACGTCCTTCGCCACCGGTTTCTCTGCTGGCTCCGCTTTGCCATGATCAAGAAGCAACACGTTTGTATTGGAAAGGGTTCGGGTTGATGCGAACGAATGTGTGTTTGTAGGAGCGGCAACATGGACGCGCCAAGACGATCACAGTGGTGCTACCGGAGGAGCCGTCGTCACGGGCCGTGGGGCGCGCACTGCAGTGGCGTCAAGACAAGGAGTGGCGCGACCAAGGTGTGCAATTTCGTCCAGTTCGGAGCCCCTAAACTGTCGGGATGTAGGACTTCAGGACGCTGCGCGCGAAGCGATCGCCCTCCGCGACGCGATCGAGGCGCTACGTGTCGCGCGAGAGGCAAGCCAGGCCCGGTTCCTCGACCGCGAAGACGAGATCCGCGACATCAAGATCGCTGAAAAAGGCATCCAGGACGACGAGCAAGGCAAGACACTCCAGATGACATCGCAGCTGCACCACTACGCCAACCAAGTACTCGTCGTGGACACGTCAGGGTGACATGTCCATTTCTGTAGATCATCCACACGCGCGTGCGCAAACTCTACGAAGTCATTTGCCGCGCGTTCGACATTTTCGAAGACCAAGCGCGCGAGCACCTGCTGAAATCGACGTTCCGCGCGCTCCGGTTGCCTGCGATGCAAAAGAAGATGACGCTGCTCTGTCATCGGTGCCAATTGCGCAACTGGATCCGATTGGCCAAGCGGTAGGCCGACCGTAGACCGTGTGTCGTCTTGACGCGGGGTAGGTTTGGGTACTGGCTGCACAACATGCCGCGCTACCACCGGCTCAAGCATCTGCACTACACGTGGCAGCGCTGGGCGAAATTCGTCCAGGGCCGGCAGCTCTTCGAGTCGCCGGGGCTCGCAACGAGCATGCGTCGGCGGCGGGTACGCACAGGACCATCGTCACCACGGTGCTATCGACTGACACTAGGTGCTTGTCTCCAAGTTTGAACACTACTTGCTCCAGGAAGACTTTATGATGCTCCCGACGGTCCTCGGTCAAAAGCTCTCGTTCAACTCGTTCCGCGCGGTCTTTATGCGCTGGGTCGAGTGGACGCAGCTCCACATTGGGTTTACGTCGCTGTTGTCGAATTTTCGCAAGCGGTATGCTATTTCTCCATTTTTCGAAGGATGGACAATATTATCCATATTAGGATGGACGTCCGGCTCATGGGCCACGTGTTTCTCTCGTGGAAGCACCATTTGCGGCAAAAATACGTCGTGCTGCCGTCGTCGTGGCGCGAAGGCCGGTATGCCGCCGACGTCGAGCGGCTGCGCTCGTCGCTCTGGGCGCTTCGCAAGCACCTCGTGTCGTGGCGCGTGCGCAAGGTGCTCCGCGCGTGCGACCGCATTCTCAAGCTCAGCGTGTGCAGCAACCCGACGCTCAAAAATTTGTTTGCTGTGCATACGCGCGAGGTGCTGCGCCGCCTCGCGCTCGAGAACCGGCTCATGTTTGTCGCCTACAACGAGCGCAAGCTGCACCACTACGAGGTGCGCACTCGATACATTGATATTTCTTTTATTTTTTAAAATTAGGAGCGCACGACGCCCATGTACGGCGGCGTCAAAGGCAACAAGTTCGAGTACGACGGCGCCATCTCGTTTGGCCATATTCACCAAGTCATTGTTGTTTGCGGCAAGAGCGTTGATGGCCTCGCGACCGTCGTCAAGTCGTTCTCTGACACCATTGAAGGGCGGCTGTGTGGCAACCCGTTCGGGACGCGGTCGGTCTTTCAGCTCGCGCCCCACGAGCTGTACGTTGTCGGTCGCTGCCAATGACGGCCAATTGATGCGGATGAGTAGTCTCGTCAAAATCGAAGGGTTTGCGTCGCAGTCGACTCTGCTGGGCCTCCGCCTTGGCACAAACCAGGATCGGTACTCAAAGTGGTATGGACGCGCCGACGTCGGCGTCTACTTTTGCCTCGAGGCCGAGCCAGACGAAGAGGTCATTGGCTTCCACGGCTACGCCGCCAAGGACTCGGTGCACGGCATCGGCGCGGTGTTTCGCCGGACAACGGAGCGCAACATCTTTGAAGGGCTTTGGACCCAAGCCGAGGTGCCGACCGACGACGTTAGCATCAACGTATCGCAAAAGGATATAGGTGGACACTATTGTCTTATGGCTGTTGTGTAGCAATGCGACCGGCAGTTTTCCTACTTTTTGCAAATGCGGTCGTGCGACATTTACGCGGCCATGGAGCGCGCGCATCGATTGGCGCTGCGCATGTGGCGGTCCGAGTCGACGGACGAAGCCGTGAATCGACTGCGCATCGTCATGGGCATTTGCCAATGGTTTTTCAATTCGCTTACACACGGTACCCACCATTAGTCCGATTTTTCATTTCTTCATTTTCCTCAATTTCGGCGATTTTTGGCGATTTTTTGGCGATTTTTGGCGATTTTTGGCGATTTTCACACGACCTCCATTAGGCCTTGTCAAGCTCAGTGAAAACGAAGACGATGGACAACGCATTCTCCAGGAAGGCATCAACGTCCGCGCGGCCGGCGAGAAGCTCCTCGGCGAAGGCGAGAAGATCCTCGAGTCCGTCTCGCGCTACCGCGAAGGCCGCAAGCAGCAGCTCAATGTCGCGGTGCTGGGCTTCAAGAAGATTCAAGAGCTGCGCCAAAACATCGAGCTCGGTGAATCCAAAATCAAGCGGGTATTACTGCTTTGCATTTCGCCAGGAATGCAAGGAATGATGCTAGGGCAAACAACAAATCGCCGAAGGCAACAGCGTCATTTTGGCGGGGCGCCAGCTCTTGCCCAAGATCCCGCTCACGGATCGCATGGTCAAGAACGTCCGTGAGCTCTACCGCATCGTGCTCACAAAGGACTCGATGGACTCGATGAGCGACGGCATTCGGAAGCTGCTGCTCAAGGACAAGGAGCCCGACACGTCGTTCATCGACATGAAGGACGTGGCCGAGGCGCGTGCGAACGCCGCCTTTGACATGGGCCAAGCCCGCGCCGAAGTTGTCTCGTCCAACCTCCGCGAGAAGCTCCGGGCCTTCAAATAAGCAGACGTTGTCCAGAGTTGACTGCGCTTGATGATCGATCAACAAGGTGATTGCAGCAGTGGCGACGAAGATGAGCTCGCTCAACTCGGCGTAGGGGATTTGGTGCCCGCTGAACAGGCCATCAACACGCTTGGATGACTCCAAGACGCCAGGAGCAGGAACCATTGAGCGGGGTGGAAACCATCTCGATTGTTAAATAGACCAGCGCTGCTGCTAGTGGTGGCGTCCGTCCTTGAGCGACGCGAGTAAGGTCTCGACGCTCACATAGTTGGCAAACCACGTTTCGCGGTACCGGAGGCGGTTGTAGCACGGCTGGAACGGCGGCGCGAGGCAGTGCAAGTGCAAGTGGTCCACGGACGTGAACGGATACTGGTGAAAGCCAAAGATTCTAGTGAACACGTACAGAGCCCATTGCATCGCGGGGGGACGACGTACCCTGGCAGCTCGGGCAGCATGAGCACGTCGGCTTCTTTGGCCAAGACCGCCCGACCGACCGCGACCATGTGCTCGACTACGCGGATGGACGTTGCAGGAGGCACCGCCGCTGAGGCGATATGACGTACCGAGCTCGATGTGGCCGTGGCCCAAGGCGTGCGTGTTGACGATGTGTTCCTTTGGGATCACGAGCAGGTGCGACGCCGCCCGCGGGTTGCGGTCGCGGAAGGCCAGGACGCGGTCGTCCTACGCAGCTCGTCGTACCATGGGCCATGACGTGGCGCTGCCAGTACCTCGAAGAGGATGCCACTCGTCTGGATCTGCGTCCGGTCGCAGAAGACGCACGGCTGCGGATGGCTCGGGCGCCCGAAGGTTCGCTTCCAGAGGTACATTTCGGCAATGCTTGGAGCACCGGATACACGTTTCGTATCCGGATGTCACCATATTCCCGCCAGATATATTGCTGGAATGGGCGCTGGATTTGTCAATATTGGATGAATATACGACGCGCGTCACTTCAACCTCAAGCCGTGGTGATGACGCAGAGCACTCGGTGCACTGTGCACGACTCTTACGTATACGATTGCTATTGGATTGAGTTTTTCACCGACAGCAGTAGGGCGTGACGTCTGGATCACACTTCTCGTGCCATGTTGGCTCTCGAGCGCCATATGACCAAGTAAGACCATTGCTTGGTCGACTGTGTGGCGAAGATATAGCAGCTCAGTGTCTTCCCGCGTCTGTTGGTTTAGCACTTGAGTGTTTTTGTCGAAACGTACTAGAAGGTACTGGACTCTTTGTGTTGCAACGTCAGGACGCGCGTCACCAACAACGTTCGATATGCTGTAGGACTATGGGCTTGGAGAAGAAGAGCGTCGCGGTACTCGTAGTTTAGACCTTCGTTTCGTCCATTCAGTCGATGTCGGCTGCGACACACCATGTAAGACCATGTAAGACGACGCCAGACACTGCCACGTCATCACAAGACGGACTCTCCTTCCCACTCCTCATACGCAAAATTTGCACGAGGCTCAATGGCAAGAGTATGCCAGTAAGAAGCATTGGAGCACATTAACTCGACGACAAGGGCTGTTGGCGTACTGGACCAGGCATTATTCTGCTATCTGCTGTATGAAACTCCGCACCAAAATGTCCTTCGTAGGACGTCGTGCTGGACCCGATAGAGTAAATGCAGTAGGCAAATGCTCATTCTAGTACGCGGTGCATCGGTCAATGCATATTCCTCTAGCGCTCGCTGGTGAGATCGATAGTAGTGATCTTGTCGCGTACAATGCCATGCTTGAAGAAGGTCACAATGCGTCTCGGCTGAAGACGCGATTTGCCGACCAGTGACACTGCGTTCAAAAGTATGTGTGGGGTCTGCACGCCAGGCATACCTCATCCCAGAGCAATCAGGTTGGCGACTTGAGAGCCATCGTGCCGACGAGAGTGGCTATAAAGCACTAAAGATGGCGCGGCGCCATATTTAAGCTGGGGCGACGAATCAATCGGCACGGATTGGTCAAAATGATATCCATTTCGCGGCGTCCATCGATGCCATTGGCTATGGCGCAATAAGGCAGGGCGACTCGATTGATTGGCCAAAATTACGACTGGCCTTGCTTATCCAAAGACAGTCGAGATTTCCCTTTAGCAAGCATGAGCGACTACACTGATGACAAGGCGCCCGAGTTCCTCTTCCCCGACTCGGTCAAGGGCTGGTTCCTCTCCATGTCCAACGCCATGATCGCGGGCAACGTGACCGAGATGGGCCGTCTCTACGACAAGGAGTTTGCGACCTTGACGGCCAACTACTTTAAGCAGTCGCCGTGGCCCGAGCCGGACGTCGTCGGCCCGCTCGTGTACGACGACGCGGTCTTCATGACGCTCTACACGCAGATCTACTACCGCCACATGTTCTCGAAGCTCCAGCCCACGATCGAGTTCAAGCAGGCGAGCTGGGACAACTACTGCGCGATCTTTGATGGCATCCTCGACGCGTCGCTCGAGCTCGAAGCGCTGCCGTCGCAGTGGCTCTTTGACATTGTCGGCGAGTTTGTGTACCAGTACCAGTCGTTCTGCCAGTACCGCGCCAAGGCCAACGCCGCCGCCGATCTCAAGAGCTCCATGTGGAACACCAAAGCCGTGCTCTCGTACCTCCAGCGCCTTGTCGCGATCTCCAACATCAAGGCCGTCCTCGCCGACCCGTCGCTCCCGTATGTCATATATGCCTTGGTTGCTGCGATGGCTCATAGATATAGCGTAGGGTCCCGAACGAGTCGGTCAAGGAGCTCGGCTACTTTGCGCTCATCTGCCTCTCGCGCGCCCATGTCCTCTTTGGCGACTACTTTACGGCGCTCGCGATCCTCAAGCCGATCGACTTCTCCAAGCGCGACCAGCTCCACCAGAAGAGCTACAGCTGCAACGTGTCGGTCTATTACCACATGGGCTTTGCCCAGCTCATGCTCGGTGACGTGGCCGCGTCAATCAAGTCGTTTGCCAAGATCATCCTCCAGGTCCACCGCAACCGGTCGTACTACTCCAAGTTTGCCGACTACGACCAAGTCAACAAGCTCACGGAGAAGGCCCTCGCCTTGCTCATGCTCGCCGCGCACCTCTGCCCTGGCTTTACTGTCGAAGACCAGATCCATGCGCTCTTGCGCGAGAAGCTCGCTGACAAGCAGGCCGCCATCCAAAAGGGGTAGGGTTCTTATTGTGCGTGGTATCCATGGTCGCTGACGGACGGACTAGGGACCTTACCGTGCTTGCGGACGTATTTTCGTTCTCGGCGCCCAAGTTTATCCTGCCGGGCGTGACGGCCGAGTCGGAGGATGTCTCGAAGGAGGCGACTGCGCTCCAGCTCAAGCTCTTTTTGGCGCTGGTCGAGCGCCACGCGGCGCTGCCGTCGCTTCGCTCGTACGTCAAGCTGTACCGGTCGCTCGACGTGGCCAAGCTTGCGCGCTTCCGCGGCGTCTCGGAGGCGTCGGTCCTCGCCGAGATCATGGCGTTCAAGCTCCACGCCGAGTCGCTCCAGTCGGACGTGCACTTTTACGTGGCCGACGGCCTCGTCAAGGTCGACGAACAGAAGCGCGAGCAGCGCACCGGTCAGTACTTTATGACGCAGATCGCCAAGTTGCAGCGGGTCGTGGACTCGTGCGCGACGAGCGACTAGAGTTGTTTTATAGTAGAGGTTATCTCCTAATTCCTTTTTTTCGCACCGTTAATCGTACAATGTAACGTTTGGCCTGCACTTTTCTGCTGTGGACTGCATTTACAGTATGAAACTATTGCATGTGGAACACGACAAGGCATCTCACGTTATTAACTGTCGACCGACATATCTCCCGTCGGAAGACGCGGTGGTTTGGGCGCTCTTCACACCTTGATACTGACGGCTCGTGCTCTCTCGTGCCTTGCCGATGAATCTCAAACTTCAAAATCAATGACAAAGTCCACAAGCTGTCGTTCGAATTCGGTTTCGTGGACCCTTGCCCTACCTGCACGATAGCCCAACGACAAACTTTGCGTGTCCTTCTCCGAGTGACACCATCGATGTGTGATGCTGTGGTATTGATAGTCTTAATATACTAGTACATGGCAACCTGACAAAAGAAAATCGGGTCACCGAAGGGCCGCGTCGCCGTACTGTTGGCGAATGAGACCTTCGAGTTTGACGCGAGCGCCTCTCAGGACGCTCTCCGTGTACGCGTTCATGCGCGTGTGGTGCGTCGAGCGCAACTTTGGCGTCGCCGGAAACGACTGCGGACTCACCATCCCCGGCCGCTTCATTTCCCAAATGTCGATGCGGACAACGACGTCAAATGCATTGGTCGGCACGTCGTGGTGCATGAGCAGCCGCATGTACTTGAGGACGCGGGCCGGAACGATCGACTGGCCCTCCATGTACGAGAGCACGTACGTCGTTGCGCTCAGTGTCGACGGCTCGGCATGCGGCGACGGGTGCGACAAGTGCCGTGGCGTCGTCAACGGCGTTTGGGACCCGCCGCTCCACAAGCCCATGCTGGCCAAGGTCCACCGGAGCTTGGCTTCCATGTCATTGAGCTTCTTGGGAAAAAAGCCGGGCGTGCTATGATGCGTGCAGTGCAAACCGCGGTGGTCCCCGACTTGCTTGCAGTGGTGGCACATGTGCTCCGCCGTCGCGTGGGAAGTGGCGGCGCAGAAATCACATGGCGCCCGCGCGCTCGGGCAGTCGGTCGATCGGTGGTCGCCGACTTGCTTGCAGAGCCGGCACACGTGCATGTAGGTGTCGTGGGACGCTGTCTTTTCGCAAAAGTTGCAGTACGGCGCCCGATGGAACCACGACGAGGCCTGCGTAAACGCCTTTGTCGGCGCGGCCGGCAGGAGGCACGTGAGGTGCTGCCCGCGCGCGTGGCAGTGGAAGCAGAGGTGGTCGGCGCTGCTGTGCGCAGACGGCTCGCGCGTCGCCATGGATGCACAGAATGAGCAAAAGCGGTCGCGGACCTTGGGGCACGCCTCGCTCTTGTGCGCGTCCATCGCATGGCAGTGGTGGCAAATGTGATTCGAGGTCGTGTGCGTCGTGTACTTAGCGCAGTGCTCGCAGTAGTAGAGCCAGTCGTCGAGCGGGAATGGCTCGACCGACCGCTCCTTGAGCTTGAGGAGCACCTTGCGCACCATGCCCCCGGACGTCGTGTCCAGTGACTCCATTGCGTCGACGAGCCGGGATGCATGGAGGAACCCGGGCGGCGTCGGCTTGAGCGGCGGCGGCGGCGGCGACGGCAGCGGCAGGTCGCAGCACTCGTACATGCTGCGCGGTGAGAAGCAGTAGAAAGTGATAAGCGGCGTCACACTCTCGTCCACGTCCGGCCCGTCCATCTCTTCCTGGCTTGTAAATTGAACCTTCACTCTGAGTGCAAAACCGAGTGGAATGTAGGTGCGAGCGGCGCTGGGATTGGCTGAAACCGCGGCCGAGGCTGCCTCTTGGTCCGGGCTAAACGCACGCCACCGTCGCCCCTTTGACGAAACACCGTTTTCTCAACCACTTGCGGTGAACGCGGTGACGGCACCGCTCGCGGCTGCATGACGCGGTCGCCCGATCACTCTTGATGACGATCTGGAGAGTTCATGTAGCGTCTTCCTCGCGTCGACAGGCCAACAACCCAGCGTGTGTCAACGCGACTACAGAGTCGTTTCACGTCGCCGAATTCGTTGCGCAACCACAGTGTGGCTTGCTCCGCGCACGTGCCCAGGAAGAACAAGATTGTAGTCGAGGAAAAGCCAGCGTTGCTTTGATGCAGATCGACTGGTGCATGCGGTACGCTGCGACTGATAACGTTGGCGCGTTGCCCAGTCGACCGGCATTTGAGCACTAGCAAGAGGGCTTGCAATTGAGAGCTGAACACTGATGCTGCGGTACAGCTCTATAGTTGAAGGCTATCGTGGTATGATGCGTGCAAGCGGGAAGAGCACTGTTGATTCCCTCCGACGACGGACGTGTCCTGTTGGCCAAGTGCAAGGTGGGTGTTTTTAGACGCCGAGTGTTGACGAAACTGGATCTCTTCGTCGCAAATGGCGCTTGTGACGAAATGGGCTTGAAGCATCGTGAGAGATCTGATTGGGAGCTCCACGCGTTCACGGTGCGCTTGATTCTTGTCCGAAGCAAAGATGTGCTCGTCGATCTCTGCATAGAAATGACGTGTCGACGGGTGACTGCATTGGGCAACGCCATGTTGCCTGTCGCCAAGCATCCATATCCTACCCTACAGCCTCAACGCAGGCGGATCCATTGTGTATGTTTGTGGTACGAAGAGCGGGCGGCAGAAAAGACATGGGCGCTGGCTTTCCTGGTCTTCGTTTGTGTGTGACGCCATTTCTCGGATCTGGTTCGACCCAGGATGCAATTACAAACGCCACCCCACTCTACGCGGTGTGCTCGCTACCTCACTCAATCCCGAGCCCCGACCAAGCGCCCTTAGCTTGACGTCCCGGTCAAACCTCACGAGCGCATTAGGATGTCCACCATCTTCACTATAGAATTGCATGTTAATAACTCGTTTCAACAACAAACACCACCCACTCTAGCGATCCTAGCAGCGTACTTTGACTGTAATTTGCGGGGTACACATGCAAGAGCAAATGAAGTTGGGTTTTGGCGCAGGCTTCGCTTCCATGTTGCTGGTTGCTGGTTGTGGCCTTGCTGCTACGTTGCGCAGACGAGACCGAACGAGCTCCAAGCCTTACTCTTATCCCTGTGGGTTTAATACTAGAGTATACAAAATAGAAAGCTCGTCAAGGAATCGCAATATTTCGCGGTTTTCGTCGGTTTGCTACTTTTTCTTGCCCTTCTTCTTGCCCTTTTTCTTTTTGCCTTCGCCCTTCTCGCTGCGATTGAGCTTCTTGAAGATCTCGGGCGGCAGTGACGGGTCCACTTCAAAGGCCTTGATGCGTCCGTCGTCCTAAGGTCTCTCAGCGGCGATTATTCGAGTCGTATCGCGACCAACCTGTTCCATTAACGGCAAGAGAATCTCGGCGCCCTCGACGTCAATCAAGTTGAACGAGAAATAGATATTGGTGAGCGTCTTGCAGTGCTCAATTGCGTCCTTGAACGCTGTGAGCGCCTCGGGGTCCTACCACATGACAATATTGTACACAAATAAAAGAATATATAATGTCATGCCTTGCGGATCGCATTGTCCGAGAGATTGAGCTTCGTGAGCGACCGCGCGCGCTTGAGGCCCAGCGAGAGGTTCAAGAGGCCTTCGTCGCCGATCGTGTTGCCCTGGAGGCTCAGCGAGTGGAGTGCACTCTTGGCCATGCTCACGAGCTGCGCCAAGACGACCGCACCCTCTTTCGTAATGCTGCAAAACTCCAAGTGGAGTTGCTAGAAATCATAAGTACAATAGGACAACATGACAAGAATACCTTGAGTGTCGTATTGGTAAAGAGGCCTTGACAGAGCTCATAGACACCAGCGTCGCCAATGCCATTGTTGCAGTTGAGCTTGAGCGTTTGAAGCGGCGACTTTTTATTCGAGTAGAGCGCGTCCGAGAGCATCTTGCAGCTAGTATTTGTCGTGTGAGCTCCCCCCACGGCAGGTGAAATTGTTGAAATACCCCTCGACGCCAATGTTGCAGTCCATGAGCTCAACGTACACGACGTTCACAAGGCCATTGCCTTCACAGAGGATCGATGCCTAGGCCAAGAGTACAGTGACGACCGTAGGTTTGCACGGAAAGCGTACGATGGCCGACGCGCCTTCGTCCCCAATCGGATTATTCCAAATACGGATCGTCGAGAGATGCATGTACGCCGCTGTGATGCTGTGGGGCACAGCGCCGTACAGAGCGTGTCAAGGACGCTCCAATGATCTCCATCATACATGTACTTTGAGATAGAATGCAGAGTTGGCAAAGGATATCAGAACAGCACAGGCCATGGCGCGGACACCGCCGCTGCCGAGCGGTCCAAACTCATCGTCCACAATGAGCTACGTATCGTTGAGCATGGTCGTGTAAAGGCCGCGTACCTGCGTCAAGTGCTCTTCGGCTTCGTCGCCCTTGCCTTTGAGCGCGTCCGACATGGACGGGTTCACAGGCACGCCAATCGACCGGCACATCTTGACGTAGTTGGCCACGAGCATCGGCCGCGTCACGCCATTGTCGCTCGGCTCTGGCTCCTTCTTCTTGCTCTTGGCTTTCGGGCCCATCCTACCTTCTCCGCGAACGAGACGCTGCCACGCAAGTGCAATCTATCAATAGATCATCCGGATACCATCTTTCGGTAGCGTATCCGGACAGAAACTCCTGCTGCGCTTCCACGCATGTCCTTTGGTGGTCGAGGTTGCTCCGTAAGCTCTAAATGCCAAGTGGCTCGTCAACGCTCTCGAGCACAGAGCTCTGGAGCTCCTGGTCCCGCTTTGAGCTCCTGCCAGCGTCGTGGCAATCAGATCTGGATCCGCGTGGCGGTTATGCATCCGGATATGAATTCCGGATGTGTTATCCGGACGCGAGCCGTTGACCCCAGGATTTGGCCGTTTCGGGCGGCGAGGCATTTTCGCGAACGCCATTTGCAGAATCGCACGATGCCGGTAAGACGACACGCGGCATAAAACGTCTCGGGTTAAAGTCCTCGCTGTAGTTTACCGCTTCCGATGGGACCGAGTTCGAAGACCGCGACGAGTGGCGCAAGTACGAGTTCGCGACCAACTTTACCTTCAAGGCCAAGAAGGACGAGACCTTGATGAAGCTGCCGGGGCAGATCGCCGGGTACGACGAGGTCGCCATCGCCGCTGGCATCATGTAGCATGGGCGTAGGCAACCGTTTGACATTGCGGATCTCGAAGGCTGCCAAGTGCTCTTGCTCGACCATTGCGACCAAGTGCAGATCGACAACCTCGTCAACTGCCGCGTCTTTATCGGTGCGCGACATGGCCTTAGGACGACGATTCTGACGCGATATGACATGCCTAGGCCCGTCGTCCGAGTCGGTGTTTGTGCGCAACTGCACCAACTGCGTCTTTACCGTGGCCTGGTACGCACTGATGAGCCGACTTCTCGCTCATGCAAAATCGCGATAGCAAGCAGCTCCGGACACGCGACTGCTCGCAGTGCCATCTTTTTTTGTACTCGCTCACGGACCCGATCATCGAGACGTCGACGCAAATGGTGTTTGCGCCCTTCAACGGCGCGTACCACGGCCTCCGGAGCCACTTTGCCTCGGCGAACCTCGAGCCCGAGAACAACCATTGGGCCAACGTGTACGACTTCAACGACCCGGACAAGACGGGCGAGAACTGGCGCCTCGTCCAAGACGCGGTCGAGCCGTGGGTCATTCCGCTCGAGCAGCTCGTGGCCGACGCGGAGGCGTTTGGGCCATGCGAGAACCCCGTGCCTGCGAACGCAACACCGATTACGCATGCCGAGGACCCGTCGCTGCAGTCGTTCTCGATCGACACCTCCCAGGTAGATGTCACTGGTACGGGCGATGCTCATGGTCGTCCTGTGTAGCAAGATGCGCAAGCGCACATTGAAGCTGTCGCCGAATCGACGCAACACGACGAGAGCGTCGACGGGTTCGTGCCGTCGTCGGACGACAGTGCGCAGTTTTACGACGAAGCGCCGTCGCCGCCGAGCAGCACATTTAACGACCCGCCGCCCGCGCCGATCGAGTCGCAGCCCGTGCCTGTCGAAGGCTACTCGAGTAAGCCCGGCGCGTACTCGTCACAGCCCAAGGCGGCCGCGTACACTTCGCAGCCCAAAGCGGCTGCCTACACGTCGCAGCCCAAGGCCGAAGGGTACACGTCGCAGCCCAAGGCCGAAGCATACTCGTCGCAGCCCAAGGCCGAAGCATACTCGTCGCAGCCCAAGGACGGCGGGTTCACCTCGATGCCCGACCCGCAGCAGAACTGGCCGATGCTGGATGAATTTGAGCAAAAGCAGGCGGCCGAGGTCGAAGAGAAGCGCGTGAAGGAAGAGGCGCTCATCAAGGAAGTCCGCGCCAAGGCCGAAGAGGTACTCCTCATGCTACATTCGTCACGACGACGCTGACAATGACTAGGATCTCGACAAGTACTATGGCGACCGTACCGACAAGCTCGCCCACCGCGCCGCGACCAACCGGTTAGCGTCCTACGAATGCAGCTGGTCTTCGAATCCAAACCGTAGAGAGCACGAAGAGCAGAAGAAGCAAACGCAAGCCGCGCTCGCGGCCGCGTCGTCCGAGCAACCGTGGAACCGTGTGACGGACCTCGTCGATATGTCGGCGCCGGCCAAGATCAAGACGGACGCCGAAAAGTACTCTATCAACTTGATACGATGCGATCTGATGTGGGTGGCAGGAAAAAGAAGGACGACGTCGATCTCCTTGACACGACGCGCATGCGCAGCCTCCTCGTGCAGCTCAAGAACACGGGCGGCCCCGAGACGATCCGCGCCCAAGGCTAGCGGAATGCAATACTTAGTACTATTACATGACGACTCCATTAAGCGACTAACTTAAAGGCTGGCTAAATAAACATGCTCGGGCGACGGGCAGGTGGCGACGTAAGCTGGACAAACACCAGCTCGTTGGGACTCGCCCCATACGACGCAATCGAGTGGCCTCTCGTGGGCGTGAACGCGCGGTGCGTAAAGATTGCTGTAAGGCCTCGCGGGTCGGGCGACGTCCCGTGGTGGTCAGTGCTGCCGTCTCTGGCGCTACGCCAACGTCGTCGAAGCGCCACCAGTTGCCAAAGAAGAGTGCTGACAACGACACTGCCAACGGCCCCGAGCAAGGTGGCGTGCGCGGTCGCGGTCGTCTCAGGCGCCAAGACCATGCTGGCGCGTAAGCCAAGGCAGCCGAGCTGTGCGAGCTTGGCGGCGACCGCGCAGCGCATGCTCACGCGCGTAGCATAGGGCGATACGGCGACCAACAGGACGACGTACGTGGCAAGGATCGCGCTCAGCAGCGCCACTTGCAGCACGAGAACGTTGGGCCCAGAGAGACTGAGACTCGCGCCAAGAAGGACGTGCGTCATCGCATCGATCGCTGGAAACCATGTGGCGTCGGCGAGGTAGGGCGCGTGGAAGCTTCGAAATATCGAGGGGCACCGAAGGTGCATGTGCTCGACGGCGACCGCGACAAGTAGCACGAGGCAGGTGGCCATGGCCGCCATGGCAGCAACGATGAGCATCTGCCCCGAGCGACCGTCTTGGAGGATCGAGAGGCAAACCACGACGCTCGGCAAGAGTAAAAGGTGCAGCGCCAGAAAGAACGTCCCGACGAGCCGGAGCGCGACCGCCCGGCAGCGCTCGGGCAGCGTCGGCGTGACGGCCATGTTGACGTGGCCGCAGGGCGAGAGGTACAGCGCTGTGGCTACGAGTAATGCCGTCAGAAGCGGCGCGAGAAGACAGGCGACGTTCAACGCCACGCTTGGGCCGATCGTCGCGGTCGCGTACCCATGACGCGCCGCCAAGCCGAGCCAGCCGCTCGTGCCTGCAATCGATGGCGCCGACGACGACGACGCTGGTAGTAGCAAGAAGACCCAGACAAACCCGTCGAGGTTCGAACGATCGGCGAGAGGTGGGCCAAGCGTCGCGAGGCCGGCGGTCAGCTGCAAGAACGAGACAAAGAGGGGCAGCTCCCACGCGGTGACGTGGCGACAACTCTGGTGGGAAAGTGCATGCATCATGTGGCGCAGCGCTAGGAGCACGAGAGCCGCCACCGCCGTCCACTGCAGTCCGCAGTCGAGCCACCGGCTCACCTCGGGCTCCATAGCGATCTTCTCGTAAAGTACGCGACAAAAGCGTCCAAGCGCCTGGCTACAAAGGCTAGGACGGCACCTGTCCACGTGCGCACCCGCTGAAATGGAACATATTGTCTATTCGTCTGCCGACACTACTGTCTACAGTCCATATCGCAGAGGACACGACACATGATGCTGGGTTTGGTCGCTCTGGCAGCAGAGCCATGCGAGTGTACGTCGTTTGAGTCTGAGTGATGGTCTTTAGCAGTCATTGACGTGAAAGTGGGCACAACGCGACTGCACAGCTCGCTGCGTGCGATGGAGCCGTTGACGTACGAGAAGTATGTGGACGCTGAGGCGCGCTGGCCGTCGACGGGCCGCGTGGTGCTGGCGCACCAAACGTCGTCGCACGTCGTCGTGTACCAGGCGTACAATGCCAAGCTCGCGGCCGCGATCGTCGCCGCGCAGTGCCTGCACGCACCGAGCGTGGTCGCCGCCGGCTACAGCCTCCAGCGCATGACGTGGATCAAACCCAACTTTCTCTGGATGATGTTTCGGTCGAAGTGGGCAACAGCGATCAACCAAGAGGGCATTCTCGCCCTGTACGTCCAGCGCGATGCCTTCAACCAGCTGATCACGGACGGCGTGCTCAGCACATGCGAGGACGGCGCGGTCACGCGGGACGAGTGGACGCAGCGCATTCTCAACTCCAACATTCGCTTGCAGTGGGACCCCGACCACGTGCCCGACGGCAGCCGCCACCTCGGCCGCCGCGCGCTTCAGATTGGCCTTCGCGGCGACGCACTTCTCGCGTTCTCCTCGTCGATGGTCGACGGCATCGTGGACGTGACTGACTTTGTCGCGGCGCAGCGACCTTACGTGGCAGCCCGACAGCTCGATGCGCTTCTCGTGCCTCATGAAGACGTGTTTGCGTGGAACCCTCTGGAGCCCGCCACGTCATTGCCACACCATTAATAGAAGAGAACATTTCGAAGGACTTGGACTTGGAATCGTGTGATGAGTTTAGCTGGGAGCGACGCTATTATAGTTCTGGGAGGATTCTGCTTCTGCCTTCCATCATTCACGGTGCACAGAGGCCGGCCGAGCTTGCTGTCGATCGTTGATATGGCCAGCACCGGTTGAGGTTCGCGAGAATAATATGAAATGTTTCGGTGATGGAAGTCGGATTTTTGAAATAGGCTCTCGCTGTGTGGTAGACAATATGTGCATAGTATGGGAAGGGACCACGAGCTGCGTCTATGAGGCTGCGGTGTCGTTCCCACTTGACCGCAGCGACCCTTCTCTTGCGGTTTTGTGTATTTTATATTGAAAACAAAGTATGCAAGGTGACCGGATATTTTAATTTTCAATGACCAATCACAAACCGGGTGGCGTTGGAAACGCACTTACGCGACCTTTACCTTGGTTTTTGTATGGCAACCATGGTTGGGTGCTACCCGAAGTTCGAAGTTCCAAAAGCCACGGATTTCGGCCAATCGCCGTGCGCTCGAAGCAAGACAGATAACGAGAGTTCATTTTTGGGTGTTCGCGCGACCAGCGGCGCCGGACCCGTCGACGGACCGACTGAGGATGCAGATGATGGCCAAGAAGGACGCCGACGTCACTACCTACGAGAGCCTCGACACGGACGATGAGGAAGACCACGACCGCCTCCTGCGCAAGCAGCGTACGCTAGCCCATCTGCCCATCCTGATCCTCGACGTGGCTGTGGGATAGACGAAGCGAATGGCGGCGTGGGCCTTGGCCTTGACGAAGCCAAGCTGGGCGCGCCGTCGCCGGTCCGCCGAGGCTTTGTGCGCATCTACTTTGAGAGCGACAACTTTACGTCCTCAACCGTGCTCCGCGTCGAAGAGCAGACGCTCGTGCGCGACGTACTCTTCCGCACCCACCTCGTCGCCTCATGCTTATGGTATTTAGGTCCGCCAAACCATGGCCACCAAGCTCCACGTCTCGCGCAAGCAGCTTGAGTACTATGCGATTCTCATGGTCTTTGCCAGCGGCAAGGGTCCGAATTCACCTCTTGAAATGGCTGCCACTGACCACATTGTTGCGCAGGCTCGTCCATGTCGGCGCGGACGCTGCAGGATGAAGAGTCCATCTTGCAGGCCCAAGAGCAATTCCATGCCGAACGACAGTCGCTGCCCGAGATTTCGCTCGATCACATGGGGCCCGTGCGCGTCAAGCCCCGTCACCGCGCCCGCCAAACGCTCAAATTTGTCTTCAAGGTACGACACTGGCAACGAATATACGAATCGAAAGTGATATTTTGCGATAGGACACGCGCGCCAAGCCCATCGACTTGGACGCAGACTTGGAGCCGCGTACAAGCAACACCAACTCGCAAGACACTGTGTTTGCGTTTCCCCAAAAGCTCGGCCAGGTACGACGACGACGATGGCGCGTCACAAACGCAATCTGGAATGTGGCCTTAGGGGATGCGATCTGGCACGCTCAAGAAGGCGAGTCTCAAGGACGCCAATGTCTGGCGTACGCGCTGGTTTGTCCTCAAGGTACCTCATTTCCACTTTGAAAATTCGTGTTTCGATTCGACATATTTGCGTGTAGGAAGACAAGCTGTTTTATTGCAAATCGGAGATGAACCAACGCGATATCACTGCGATTCCGCTCCTGAATTCGTGCATTGTCAAGGCTGACGTGGTATGCATTCGCCATGGTTGATGGAACGATGACCAATGTTGCCTTGTGTAGCAAATCCCGCACTGTTTTGAGCTCCATACGTCGCGTCGCGTCTACCGCGTACACGCATTTTGTAGGATTTTTCAACGTACAATTTGTCACCTGTAGCTGTGCGCCGGCAGCGACGACCTCATGGTGGCGTGGATCCATGCACTTCACCGGGAAATCCGGCTCTGCAGTGAGAACCAAGCGCTCTCCAAGGCCGAGATCATCATTGTCGACGAGGTACACGCTGTCCATATAATGAAGGACAATATTCAACAACATCTAGACGGTCACGACGTGCGAGCTGCAGAATACCGCGACGCCGTTTGCCGTCACGGGGATATTAAGCAACCCTGTCCTTCGCAAGCTCTTTCGCGACTACATTGTCCAGCACGTCGCGGCCAAGACCGTCCTCCTCGACACGTGGACCGAGTGCGAGGCGTTTCGCCATAATGGCATTACGCGGTATCAGCACCACATTAATCCGTCGGTGACCAACCCGACGCTGCGTTCGACGGCGCGGGACGAGTGGGAGCACGTCAAGACCATTTTGCTCCAGTATTTGCCGGTTCGGTTTTGCGAAAACAATATTGTACAATTATTTCAACATTGAAATAGGCGTCGCAAAAGGCCGGCGCCGAGCTCAGCGATGTCGACATGGACGTGTGCCGGACGGCGTTCCATGAGAGTCAAAAGAATCGCCGGTTGAGTATTGCGATGGACACGGAAGCCAACAATTTGCTCGAGAATTACCCGTCGCCCCACCTTTTTTACCGCGTGCAGCACGACGTGCTCCGCGCGCTGGAAGAAGGACCGTTCCGGCATTTCATTGCGGGCAAAGGCTACATGATGATTGTGGACCGCATGATCCGGCGGTAGACATATTTTCACTCAATTCATGTCGTGGAAAATTCGAGCTTTGTGTGTGTTCTGTGGGGATATAAGCGTTTGCACAAGAAATGTCGCGTCGGCAGAACACTCCACAGAGCTGGCTCCAATTCCTCTGCAGCTGCGACAGCGATGGCGACGCGATCCATTGTGCATCGGTGACGTCGCAGCAAAAGGCACCCTCTACAGTATTTTCCTTGGGCTGTCGTGCCATCGAGGTGGACTCGACCACGACCCGTACGTCGATGCGGCGTGACATCTACGATGCTCGGTGTAGCGATGGCATCGATCGCTATAGAGATAGTCGTCAGCACCGCGGTCGCGTTGGCCATCCAGCACACTGCATTTTGCGTGGACCCTACCCCTCTTCCCGCCCCGAGCAACCTGAAGAGTGACGCCACCCATTTGACCACAACAAATAAGTGTCTGAATCCGACTCGTCGCCTTTGCTGCATCACACATGAAGGCCATGCAACGCTGCTCGATTCGACGTGCGCTACGTCGTCGACGTTTGCGCGCGATCCACTGTCTCCACATGCGTCTCGGCGAGAAGCAATGAGAGTCGCTTGGAGCCCGGCGATGTTGACGTGGGGCGCAACGGACGACAGAATTTCTCCATGTGCCCCGACGTGCCCCGGTGGAAGCGGTGGAAGTACGTGCGCGAGCACGCGTACACCATGCCGTACCCCACGCACTGGGTCGCGCGGACGCAAATGACGCGGCTCGTGTCCAAGAGCAGCTCGTTGCGGTAGTCGTAGCCCCAGATCAAGGCCTCTTGCGCCGACGCCGCCACCGGTGGCGGTCGATAGAGATATCCAATCATCCAGTCGTCTTGGTCGCTGTCGCGCACGAGGGCTTCAAGGTGCAAATACCGCCGCAGTTTAAAGGTTGATTCTTGGTTGGCGCCACCGAGCTGCCCACAGTCGGTACACGTGAGCTGGATCTCGGGGGCGAACGTCGGGTATGCAGTTGTAAAGATGATGGCGTCGGCGTCTTTGGAGAGAATGCTTAGCGACGGGTAGCGTCGACAGCGCGCGGTCGGGCGCAGCAGCTACATTATTTACGTTCCACGGAGTGATTTTTTTGTAAGAGCAATAAGTACCATGCTATGACAAGCTGTACACGGCGCTTGGTGTCCCCGAAAGAGAGGTGGAAACAAGAGGGAGAGGTCTTCGACGCGGTCGCCTGTCCCGAGCCAAATGAGCTGTTTGTTGGTCTGACTTTGTCGGTCTTTGGCGGCTTCCCGGCCGTGGACATCGGTGGCATGCCTAGTCAAATTGTAAATTGAGTCGACGAAATATACGTCGAAATAGCCACTGGTAGAGTTCGCGCTTGGTCCGATATTCCTTGTCACAGTGTGGACACTTGAAGTAGCCGGTTTTACCTACACGGCAATATTGGTCTGAACGCTCTAGACCGATGTACGTACTCAGCATAAACGTATAGTTGTCGTCGCGCCACGGACTCTCGGGGGGCCAGTGTTTGACCATGTACTAGAAAAGGGAAAGTCTATAGAAGCGCTAATGCACACGCTATTGCTTGTACCTGATCCACGAGCGGATCGCCGGCAACGAGGCGCACCTTGTTGGCGTGGACGTGTTGGTGGCTCTTGGCCCCTTCGCTGGTGCTATAATAGCACCACTTTACACACAGCGTCATAGTAGGGAGAAGGGTCGTACGAGAAGCAGCGACCGCACGCGGGATGGCTGCAGACAAACGTTCGAATGTTTCGGGTCGTCACCTTGAGAATCGTATCGAGCGCCGGTTGTCGTGGCAAGGACTATCCAGTATCCAGTATCCAACTATCCAACAACTCAACACGCAACGATACCTTGAGATGGTACACGAGCTTGTGAATATCGGCGAGCGAGAGGGTGTCGGGCGTCATCTCAGCGTCGTCTTTGGAGCAGGGCGGCGTCGTCGTCGATTCTATAAAATATGACAATATCGTACATCGTCGAGCACGATCTCGCATACCGTGGTGGAAGAGAATGTGCATATCATCAACGGACGTTTGAAGCGAGACGTGTGACGTCGGCGGCGTCATCTACCCAAAAATATCGATACAAAGCTAACAATATGCAACGCGCAAACCTTGGGGCGCGGCGGGGCGCCATTCGCGCTCGGATCGGACGGGTATCCGAGCTGTTCCAGTCGGAGTTTCAGCGCCGCCGCGACGGCCGGCAGCGGTTCAATGAACCCCTGAAGGACAATATTGTCCTGCATACAATGTAGTCGACAACAGACGTACATCGAGGCCCGAGGGGGACGGAAGAAAGCTCGGGTCCGTGTTGACGCCTTCCTTGATGTCGTGAACGAGCCGAAGCCAGTAGCGCGAGAGCAAGTCGTGATGGCAAAACACATAGTTGATAAACGCGGCGTCGTCAGCAAGCAAATCGGTTTGCTGATGCCGCAGCGTCACCACAAGCTCGTGGTAGGCGGCAGCGCGGGATCGTGCTTGGTCGGGAACCTGCAGCAAGGCCTTGTCGCCAACGACCACCGGTCGGGTCACGTCGATGGCTTGTACTGCCGCGAGCGCCGCGGCAGCTTGCTCCACCAAGCGTGGAGGCGCCGGTTTGGGCGGTTGAAAGGGAATCGAGAGCCGTTGGATCGCCACGTTCTTCTCTTCGGTAATTGCGATTCCTCGCAGCGATTTTAGCCCCTACCCTTGGTGTAGACTCGCACGTAGCGCAGGGTTAAACTGTACCGGAAGGTAGTCGATGTCGACGGTGCCGCATGCCGGGTGCTGCTTTCGGATGCGACCGGCGTGCGACGTCACTTGCATTTGTCGCTTCCGCCCCATGCGCACTTGCACAAGCGTACCGACCGGGTAGAGGGCCATGTCGATCATAAGCCCCTTGGACAACGCGTGAAAGCTCGTGGGGGGCTGCGCCGTGAGCCGCAGCTCACTAATACCACCTCGCTTGTCTACAACCTCTGTCGGGCCGCGGTCACTTGGCATCGGTGGCTTGCATGTGATGGGCGGCACAGCTTCGCAGCGCTCACCGTGCATGTCCCGATACAGGTCGTCAATGTCCTTGTACGCATGTCCAAAGGGACTCGTTGGCCCCGTACAGATCTTGCGCATATGATGGTCCTTGGACGTGTGGTAGCTAGCACTCGGTAGCTTGTGTTTGAGATGCGCGTGGTCTAAAGTACGCAAAACAATGAAAAAGGCGTCAGTAGGACAGTATCGATGCGCGTGCCATCAGTGAGTGTCGGATCGATCCACAACCAGCGCTTTTCCATGGCCACCCAAGCAGCGTTGGCGCGAAGTCGGCCACAAAGACCACGATAGAGTCGCTGCAGTGTCCGAGTGGCAAGATCGTACCGCGCGCGTCGGGCCGGTACCTACCCCTCGTGTGTGATACCCTACCCCTACTTGATAGAAAACGCACCGAGTACGACGCGTTGGTCTGCGGCAGCACGCGGTCGTGTCGGTAGAGCACGCCGCTTTTTGGATTGGTAAATGCAACGTGGAAGCAAATTCCGGGGTCCCCCGCCCAGAGCGTCCGACTAAGGGACCCTCGCGTTCTGGCTTGAATGCACTGCGCAGCGCGATAGCGTCGCTGGAGCAATTTTCGGCGCAGGTACAGCTTCCACGCGCGCTGGATCGTGATGGCCGCCATAAACGCCTGAAATTTGGCTTGCGCTTGCAGTTTGGCATGGGCGCGGCGGGCTCGCCAGTTGCGCATGGCCCGCGCCAAGACGCGGGCAGCGCGCCATCGACGAAAGAGGTAGATGGCCAGCGTGTCGTCGGCTGAGAGGTCGCCCCTAGTCGCCAAGCATGACTCGATTCAACCGAGTCCAAGTAGAAAAAGCGTGTACGAGAGACATCGGCGGAGATCGACGCGCGCCCGGAGCGTCGCGATGGCTTTGTGCACCGCGATTGTGACACCAATTACCCAGTAGAGGCGCGAGAGAGCGCGCAGATGCTTGGCCCGCCGACGACCGAGGTACCCCCGCACGAGGCGCTGTAGGCAGTGCGTGCCGACGAGGAAGAGGCGTCGGTAGTGCTCGACGTGCCGCTGTGCTTGTCGCCGGCGCCAGAGTGTCTGTAGGAAAATGCAGGCCGCGACGCGCTTCTTTGCACTAGACAATGTATAGTGTGGAGGAAAATGGACAGATTGTCTTATGAGATCGTACGCCAGTGCCATCTTGAGAGCGTGAACGCGGCGGCGGGCGCGGTTGCCACGAAAGACGCGCTGCAGGGCTATCGCGACACGCGGCCCTTTGCGAAGAAAGTTGACTTGCCACCATAACGTTTGAACGGGTTCGGGAATCAATTGTTGAAACAAAGATCGCCGGCCGTTCAAAAGGGTGGGGGCCGCGGCTCGCTGGGGGGGTGGTCGCGTTCGGGGGGCCAGCGGGTGTTTCTTGTCGTGTCGATCGAGGTCGTTGGTGTTGATGACATTCGGACACGCAAAGAGCGAGGTGTAGGCAACGTCCATCTCGCGATCTTCGAGTGCCAACCTAGTTGACGATAAGAATCAAAACGAGAAAACGAGAAAAATTTGTAGAGAAATATGCACAACGTACGTGCTCAAGTGGGCTTCGAAGTGATTCTTGCACAGACCGTGCTGGTTAAAGAGAACGAGGTCCGGACACGTGCCCCGCCGCTGTGTGTTGGAAAAGACACACACGGGCGCATGGTACCCACAGTGGGGTAAATACGTGAGGTACACGGGGTGCTGCAGCACCGTGTGTGTGCAAATAAACGGCTTGAGCGAGCTCTGGCCCGGAAGAAATCCTTGCCACGTGCAGAGTGACGTGGCACTGTACACGACGCCTATCGCTTTCGTGGCTGCATTCGCGGCGTTGGCCGACTGGTCGACGACGGTCTGCGCGTCGGTGATGCGGACGCCGGGCAGTCGGAGAATATCGATAACAACCGGCGTCTGTTGCAGCTTGGGTTGCCCGGCATGCGCTATCGCATAGCAAGGAAGACATAGCGCCATGTCGTTGGGCACTGTGATTTTGGCCGGGGGGGCGTTGTGCGTGGGGGCGCGGCAGGTCGGGGCGTGCCACGGACATCGACGCCCCGCGAGCTCAGGTTCATTGCGAAGGACGTTGGAGCAAACGTAGAGTTTGCCCTTGTGCAAAAGACTAGATACAACACATAATGACAGGTACGTTGACAAGACGAATCCCGTACCTCCAGCTGCAGACTTTGGGGGGTGGCGGGGGTGGCGGCTTGGGTTTGCTCGATGGCGACGCCGCGGCCAAGAACGCGTCCATCTCCTTTCCAATGTGCACCAAGCTAGCAACTTCGATCGCGACCTTGGACGGGTCGATCTTGTGCTGCGGCAGCAGATACGGCGAGTCCCCCGACCGCCATTGCCAACCGCCGTTGGCTTGCGCGAGGGTCTTGCGCTTGTTCCAGTTGGCCAGCGCCGATGCTTTCTCCTCGGAAGTCTCAATGTCGCCATGGGCATTCAGAACATCCTGGAGCAGCCGCTTGCCTTTGGTCTTGGCCTTGGCGGCGGCGACCGCCGTAGCCATTGCGGTTACACTTCAAGGTGGCAGTTGCCGCAACGAGATGACAGCTGTGTTGGACTTTTGCAGCGCCACTGACTCTAGACTGCCAACTCGAGACAACTCGCTGGGACAGCACAAGTCGGGAGGTAATCCGAGGACAGATTGGTTGGTTGCTACACACTGGTTGCTACACTATTAATACTCCAGGAGCTACTCCAAGTCGCCCATTGTACAACTCATCCTGTCTCTCGATCGTGTGCTTCTATGTGGCATATGCCGATTGTAGCATCCGGATGAATCATTATCCGGCGTCAAAAAAGGTGCAAACTCAAAATGGTGGAGGCCGTGCTCTCTCGCGCCGAGAGGCGACAGCACAAGAAGAAGGCCAAGCTCACGTCTTCGTCGTCTGCCATTGCACCGACGCCGCCATCAACCACTGCTCCTGCTGCAGCCGACGCCTCGTCCACGAAGAAGAAGCCGTCACGCCGGGCCAAGAAGCGCAAGCGTCCGACAGGTCCGTCGTCGGCGCCTATCACGTCGCTGGATGCGGTTGCGGCCGGGCGCATTAGCGTCACCAAGCAGTGGATCTCACCGCGCCTCGTCGAGCGATTGCGTGCGGATGCGACTGCGCTGCGCGCGGCCGGCGCCTTTACCAAGAGCACCATTGGCGGGCGCGTCGGCGAGAGCCAAAAGGTCAAGCGGTCCAAGCGCCTCTCCGAGTGCTGCGGTCTCTTTGACGACGCAGCCAATGTGCCCCGCGACGTCGGCGACGTCGGTGCGCGCGACTGCGTCATGGACCTCATCTCGGACCTCCATGCCACGCTCCACACAAACGTAGCGCCGCTCGGCGACGAGATGGAGCTGCAGTACCTCTACTACCCCGGCGACGACGAAGGCTTTTACAGCAAGCACATTGACCAGCAAGAGCGCATTCCTGGCAAGCCCAACCGCGTCGTCTCGATGGTGCTCTACCTCAACGCGCCCGACTGGGAAACGTCGCGCGACGGTGGCAACTTGTGCGCGTACCCATCCGGCGCGCCGCCCGTCAACGTGGACCCGATCGGCGGCACACTCGTGGTGTTTCACAGCGAAAAGCTCATTCACGAGGCTCGTCCGACCAAGCGCGACCGCTGGGCACTCGTCGGCTGGTTCATGGAGGCGCCAACGAAGCGCCACAAAGTTTAACTCGATCAGAGTGTTGTCGGACAGATTCCTCGGTGCTCTTCTGTCGCTATCACCTTGCTACTCTCTTGGATTCTGGAGCAGCGTCACGTTTACACCACAACGCACTGGAACTGGACGCGACACATTGGGCAAAGCATTTCGATACCGTGGGAGGCTGCCACGCCTGCTCCATTCACCCTGCGTTGGGTTGCCCAGCGAACGCTTCTCACCTGGTCGTGGGCGGATGCCACAAAGGCATTCCTCCGTGTGCGCAAGGAAGAACCCCATTTGACGGCAACGCTGCAGCTGCGATGGAAGACATCGGATGCCGTAGCGATCTCTGACTTTGCCCAAGTACCCGAATAGCATTGGCGGCTGCGTTGCGAGTACGAAGTACCTGAAGTGGTGAGTGCCGAGCCCTCCGTTGATCTTGACATTCGGTCACCCACTGCGAGTCTCACCGGGTCGACGCATTGGTGTTTGTATGCAAATGCTTGACGTTATTCGAGGTGGGGTTTAGGATGATGACTATCCGAATCGGTGCTATCCAATTCCGACAGCATATCAAGCTTGCAGTCTTCCCACTGATCTTGCTCGTCGCCGAGGAGCGCAAGGCGCCGCTTCAAGTGCAGATGCGTGAGCGCACAGACGACACAGAGCAGTGCAAGCACGCTGTGGACAACATCGGGAAAGTGGTGCATGCCGAGGCCACCGACGCCAAGATTGCTTTTGTCGCAACCAACATATGTCATGCGAGTGTACAATTTCGCTTGAAGCCGATAGATCTTTATTGATTGTAGAACAAAAATACATTAATTCATAGCACGCTTTGACGGGAGGCGCTCGACCATCATGATCTGCCAGCTCTTCCACTGGGTGCGTTCGCCTTCGACGAGCATGTTCAGGCGCGACGTATCTAAATAGACGTACACGAGCGCTACGTACAGCAACAGCGCCACCCATTGGAGCACCGGAGGCAACCCATCGAAGCAGTAGGCAATGCCCATGAAACCGGCACCGGAAACGAGGTGGGTCGTCGGTGCTGCAACCCCCAGCAACGCAAGGTCGTGCTTGGTAACAATGCGATCGAGCTCTGCAATCGTCGTCGGCTGGTCGAGGTTGGTGTAGGCAGACACATCGATGGCCTTGGGTGCGTAGAGCCAGCGAGGTGCGCGGTCGACCCACTGGGACGCATACAAAACGACGGTGCCCGTGCAGCCAAGAGCAACTTGCAGCGGCGACGTCATCTCTCGAATGGCGATCGTCCGGCAAATATTCGTTGTGGGAGGTTGACAACCGACCGGCATGTACTGTCGCCAGAGAGATACAGCGTACGCTGTACAATTTGGATACAGTAAAGAAGTCAACTCGTACCGTACGTTGTCGGACAAGGCCGCGTACATTATTGTTGACACCCCATTTTCCCTCTCAAGTGCGAGTACGATGGACAACAACACGAACGTGCTCGCGCAAACCCAAGTCGTTGTCTTTGGTGGAGCGTGCACCGTGTTGCTAGTCGCCGTGTGTCTGACCACGCGCTGGTTCAAAGTAGTACCCGCAAGAGCCTTCGCGACCAACAGCGAAAGCGACGAGACGGTGGTCGAAGCCGCCATTTTGCACGGCTGGCTACGTTCGTTTCACCACCTCGATCTCTACGGCCGTCACATTTACTGCACGAGCTTTGCTATCATCTTTGCAGTCGTCGCATCGTCGTCCGCGACGCCATGGGTGCCCTACGTGAGCATGGGCGTATACCCAGTCGTTGCTGTCCACGCGTGGAAGGTTCTCGCGCACGCGCTCGGCCGCGACGCAGCTCAAAACGAGATTCAACACTGGGAAAAAGTCCGCAACGCACTCCGTGTACGTTAAGCTAAATACGATCTCGAAAGACTTCAATTTGTTGTATGCATTTTGTCTGGAGTTTCGTTTCAACCTACTCTGTATTGCGAGGTATTAGTTGGTCAAGAGAAAACAAACCACACGCAAAGTCGACTCGTCGCATTACTCGTCCGGGTGCGCCTTGTATGCAAGACGATCGACCATGCGTTCGCGCCAGTCCTTCCACTGACGCTGCTCGTTCTGCAGTAGCAGCTCACTGCGCACCATCGCAATATACTTGCACGCGCAGTAGAGAAAGACCACCACCACGCACGGAACCGAAGCGTCGGGCACGTCGTACTCGAGAGATAAGAGGCAGGCCAGGAGACCAAGTAATGGGCCAAGAGGCGACAATGGCGCCTTGGCGCGAATGAGCGCGTCATCGTGCGCCTCGGCAACCTCGTCAATCTCCTTCTTAGTTGTCAAGGCTGCGTGGGCGGCCGTCTCGATACGCTTGGGCGAGAAGAGACAGCGCGGCGCGCGATCGAGCCAAAGCGCAGCATACACAACAGCGGCAGTAGCGCCACGCATGACGATTCGCACAGACATGGCGAGTGGCGTCTTTATTGGAAATTTCGTTCTTGAGGATTCCTTCACAATCGATCAGCACAAAGGTGACACACGATGGAGGAACTGCGTGTCCGTGCGCCACGTCATATTATGTTTCAGAGGTTTTACACACGCCGGATGTGGCACCACCTATTTGCAAACACAATCGGCACGGCATGGACACGTTTTTTGGGGTCGCAAGCCCTGTCATGTTCATGGTCAATACGGCCGCGGTGCTGAGTCTCGCCTTACTGCCCGCTCGATGGTGGCCACGCAGCGGCGCCATTGATAGCAGCGGCGCGGACGATATTGTCATCGCCGAGAAGATCAAGCGGCTTTGGCGACCGTATTTTGACCACTCGGACGGCGTATTTCGACACATACAGAGCTCTTTAATCGCTGCGTCCGTCGCGAGCTACGCCCCGGAGCTGACGACCCCGTGGCTGCGCTACCTGTGCTTCAGCCTCGTCGTCGTTGCGATCGCGCATGCCTGTTGCGTCGTGGCACACACAGTCGGTCAAATGAAAGCTCAAGGTCAGCGCGAGCAGTGGGAGGCTCTTCGGGACGAGCGTGGCCGTCAAAAGGCTGGTAGCTACAAGCGCCGGTCGCAGTCCAATTCGGCTCCCTAAGAAAATGTGACGTCATTCTATATCTTCACCAGACAGTGTTTGACGCCCATTCTTAGCAAAGTAAGCAAAGCACAAAGAAGTTTGCGGGGTTCTTCTCCACGCTCGTGGATGTCGCAGTGACCAGTCTTGTGTGTTGATGCTTGGGAGTTTTTCAATGCACAAGATATATCGAATAGGCTAGTAGAATTAGATGCTGGACACAGTAGTTGCACGACACCGCGCGAGCAATGTAGCTTGCCAGTCTTCCCACTGCTCCGTCTCGGCGTCAATGTAGAGTCGCTCGCGTTTCTCGTTCAAGTACGGGTACGCACACACGCAAGCGAGAAGAACGAGCACCGGCATAAGCATATCGGGGCAAATCAAGCCCCCGAAACTCGAGGCAAAAAGACCAAT